TGAAAGCCTCATACATTAATCTGCTAACAATTTTTGGCTACAGAAAAGATAAATACTGTTTTCTTTTATATCATACTGCGACATCGGTCAAGATCATTGGCAGAGTATACATCTACCAAGTGATATCTATATACTATGTAAATTTGTTTTATCATGCTGCCTGTGGCCACACTGCCTTATGCATTTGTAACTTTCCTAAAGTTCTGAAATCTGTTCTTCCTGTAACATTACAAAAATATATATTCTAAAGGAGACTTTGATTATCTAGCAATGTAAAATATTCAAAATACACTGCAACTGAATTGGCTTACACTTTGTAGAGAAAACATTCTGCAAATAAAAATTGTTAGAAAAAAAAAAAAAATTCTTGTCATGATGGTACATTTCACTCACAATAAGGAAATACTCAAATAAGTTCCCGTATTGTTGGGTAGATTTAATATTCAAATAAACAATCACAGTAAAGCTTTGTTCAACAAAGTCAATTCAAACTTTCAAGGAAATATGTGTGGTTGGACTCGACAAAAAATTAACACATGATTATCAGAGATACTGAGCATTTCACTGCAAGTGAACTTCACTACTCAAAATATTCACATTCTAATACACTTATTGCAGTTATTGCCTTGCTGTTTTTTTACATTCTTTAAGTGAAATTAACCATCTCATTACAGAACATTTTCCTTAAACATATCCAATTCTTTCACCAAGGTATTCCACATAAGGACTTCTGCTTTAATGAAATGTTATTATATGTATATTTACCTTTATTATTAATAGTAATGTTCAGGCACTAATGTCACTAACAGTGGGTTTCCAACAATTATACATGGATTGCACAAATATATTATAATACAAAATGAAATTTCCTCAATACTGGGCAAAAGAAACATTAAAGGTTAGCATTACACTACCCATGCATCATAAATTGAATACAGTACATATCACAGTAGTTTTTACGATGTACACTTATTTCTATATATGGTCCTTGGTCAGATTATTTGTATAAATATTACTGTAACAAAGAAAAAGAAACCATTCACCACACTCTTTACTTAGAAAGGAAAATCATTTCTTTTCCTGGAAAAAGTCTTCACATCTTCAAGCATAAGGTTTTATATCAAGCCTATTAAAATAAGAATTACCAGTAACATTGTGGGGCTCCCATGAAAAAAGAACAGCTAGAATTGCCATTACTGTAAATACTGCATTTCATATAAATCTGAAAAAAATTCTCTACTACGCTTCACAGAAGTTTGAACCTTCTATTATCATTAACAGTGATGTACTCTTAATCAACTAATATATCTTTCTGTACTAAATCAGAAGTATCTTCTTTTAAATGCCGCAACATATACCATTATGGCATTTATTTCAACTTCATCCATCGACATTAAAACCTTTTTCTTTTACTTGCTCTCTGCAAAACCTACACGATTGTTGCCCATGTCAAACTCTGTGTAGAAGCGACCAATGAAAATGTCTCCCAGAATCCAAATGGGTCCCATTGGTGGAGGAACATCCAGGCCAATGAAGCCAGAGAGGCATGTAGTTTGTCCAAACTGACTAACCTGTAAAAATCAGACATCAGTGTTATTCTCAACTGCTAGGAGAATATACAAAACGAATTAAGTAAACAAAAGATGTAAATAAAAGTTTAAATATTATTGCACATGAATAATCAAAAGGAATTGCTGTTCAAACAAGAATATATACCAACCCTGAGAATGTAGTCCTTTCCTTCCAGGGTAAATGGCTTCCCAGCAAGAACAAACGAGATGGTTGGCAGGTGAGGAATCAAGTTGCAGTCCACTGACCATTCTCCACCCATAATTGGCTTAGCACCAATCTTTTTAAGAATAAGAAATACAATTCAATGAGATTTAAAACTCAAGTACAGTTGTCTTGCCGTGTACTTTCAACAAATTTACATTTAATTCCAATATGAAAAGGGCTTAGATTGCAAGAAAAAAATTTATATGAGGGAGCATTTATGATCCTCAGATTCTATAAATATACAACTAACCTTCTTGTTAATAAGACGAGCCTCTTCGGAAGGAGCAGCAATAAGGGAAGTACCAGTATCAGCAATTGCCTCACAACCACCATCACAGAATGGTACTGTTGTTCCATTCATCTGAAGCCTAGTAACAAAAATGCAAAGGACTTTTCAGTTTTTCAAAAGTTTAGAATTATAAATTGGATAATAAGAACATTATACTTATGAATAATTCAATCCTGAATGAAATTAGATGGTACTACAATTATTATTATTCATCAACATTGAATAAAGAAAATGCAGCAGAGAAATATTGACAATAATGTAACAGATGATATGCCAGACAGTTCTTCACCCTAATTGTATTTGCTTCCTTCAGAAATTATTTGTTTTCTATATTTGTTTTCTATATCATATGTGAAGGTATAAAAAATTATGCATATGCACATATACAAAGAACTTACAATGCTGTCTATTTTCCCTAATGATCATAATATAAAAGGGGTTCACTATTCACTGCACAACCATTGTAAATACTGTAAATTAAGTCTGTGGTGAAGAATATTGGATGAGAGTTAAAAAGGACTTTTGGTATGCTGATGCAACTTACCCCTCCATCTTAAACTGCCAGTAACCCTGTCGATCAACAGGCACATATGTGAAATCGCCTGTATAGTAAGCTGGATCAGAGCCACCTAGAATCAGTTCTCCGCCTTCAGCAGCAGCAGGATCCCTGTGGATTTAATATTAGATTTTAACAAGTTATTAAAAGCCCTTATGCAGAACTTTTAAGACTACCATGAAAGCTCAAAATAACCCTCTCTCTAAATAATTTCTTGCAAAATAATGTCATAAGAGCAAAATGAAAAAAAAAAAATAAAAATTCTAGTGATGGTGAAATCCTTAACTCACTGCCAACAGGCATGACCTGTTCATACATGCTATGCCCACTGTGAGTTACTTGTTTGATTGTTTTTACACACAGATGGCTACACTTGTACCAAGTCCCCAATGAGCCAGTTACGAGTACTGCCTGTCTTGCACATTTACCCTTTTCTTTGATTTACGAAAATATTTTACATTATCTTATTTTCCTGTTACTAATGTTTATAACATTATAGTAATTATAATGTTTATAATAAAAAAAAACACCATCGATATTCATAGCACTAGTAAAAAACACGATTTCCTGCCAATTCATAATAGGTAAGATCACAAGGTCTACTAATTGACTCCTTTGTGGCTAAGCACTAGCTGAGCCATGTATGTGCAGAGACATTTCACAAAAAAAAACAGAAAATGAGCACAGCATTTTCCCCATTCTTTATTAATTTTCCCCAGCAGCACTGGGTTAAGGTACACTTCATCTGGATTTTCAAGAGCAGTGACACTATAATAATTACATAAACAAGCAGAAAATTTTACCTGTTTAGATAAAAGCTGAAAACTGGAGCGGGCACAACATTCTGATTGACCATGTTGTAGAAAACAGGTGTGACTCCATCAACAGCAATCCTATCATAGGCCATGCCAAGAATGCCATCAAACTTTGCAGCAACAAAAGCCAAACCTGGCTCACTCATGGCTTCAGCAAAAGTCTGGTCCTTGACCGACACTGATCCAACCTTTGGAAGAAAATATCATGGATATGCAAAAGGTAAACAGTGCACAGGTAATTTGTTCAAAGAGCCAGAAGTAACCAATAAAGTTTTAAATAACAGAAAACTTATGAAAAATTCTAACTAGAACTAGGCATCAAAGGAAATATATATATATACAACACAGGATAACAAGGCTGTTCATTTGGTGCTTAATTTTTTTCTCCACTCATAAAGGAAGAGTAATTGCAATTGTTTCTCTTTTGATGGTCAATCGTGCTCTATGTTTACTAAATATAAAAGGAAAATGTACATTTTCTGCCATTTAAAATAAAGTTCCGGAAGTACTAAATTTGCCCAATTGAACCTTTAAAAACTAGGCAATAATTGATACTTGGGTAGACAGGTAGGAGACATTTAGTTCTATAGGAATACACAATTATAATGATACTGGTTAAGGAAGTTCTAGTAGTATATAGTATAAAGAGAAAAAACAAACAAAAAACAGTTAAACATCTAAGAGTAATTAAATTAACATAAATCATAAGAAAAACGTAAATGAAACATTGTATACTTTCACATTAAAAAAAATGAAAATAGATTAAAAAAGAAAAAAAAAAAAAACTAGAAAATTGTATAGTACAATGAAGTTATATAGTTACCCTCATCATACAAATAATAAAGCTCTTGATTCAACTCCTATATACATCTGAAATGAATAAGCCTGTGTGTATCTAAAGATGTTCACAACTAAGAAAAACACCTTACCGCTACAGTGTCTGTAGAAAGATAACCTGACAAGGAGCCAGACCCATACTGGATGTCAAACTTTGTGCCATTCTTCTTGTATGTGGAGGACTTGGTCGCATCGTACTTGTTGTGAATCACTGTAAAGAGATATACATATAAAAAGGAGATCTTTATGACAAAATGATGCCTTCTACATTCGCATTCATAAACTTGAAAATATTTTAATCAGAGAGTGCCATTACTACATCTTTAGAGAGAGAGAGAGAGAGAGAGAGAGAGAGAGAGAGAGAGAGAGAGAGAGAGAGAGAGAGAGAGAGAGAGAGAGAGAGAGAGAGAGAGAGAGAGACAGAGAGAGAGAGACAGAGAGAGAGAGACAGAGAGAGAGAGACAGAGAGAGAGAGACAGAGAGAGAGACAGAGAGAGAGACAGAGAGAGAGACAGAGAGAGAGACAGAGAGAGAGACAGAGACAGAGACAGAGACAGAGACAGAGACAGAGACAGAGACAGAGACAGAGACAGAGAGACAGAGAGACAGAGAGACAGAGAGACAGAGAGACAGAGAGACAGAGAGACAGAGAGACAGAGAGACAGAGAGACAGAGAGACAGAGAGACAGAGAGACAGAGTATGTGAGAAATTGCATCCCCAGAATGC